TCTAAATTAACTAATCAAACTGATCTCTTCTCTCTTTAGAAACAGGGTGCCATTGTAAGTTTCAGTGTAATAAGATGCAGCATTCAGAGGGAACAACAGGTCAATTTTATAATGAGCGGAGAAAATACTTTTAAAATCTCTGTAATGAATTCCAGTGTTCACACCTACAGTTGTCCGCTGATTGGTGTGGTATTTTGATCTGTGGGCCGAGTGAAAAGAAAAACACCAGTGGAATCCTCAGCAAGCTGCCACATAGATGAGAGATGAGAATGACAGAGAGATACAGACTGAAGAAAAAGACATGAAGGTAACAACGATAATGAACAAACATCTCTTTCTAGTTTTCTTCTAGCAGCTGAGATTGACATTAACAGCTATAAACACAATACTGACACATAACAAACACACTGTCCAGCAAAATGTCACAAGAAAAGTATTTTTTCTGTATAAACACATTAGTGTTACTAAACAAATAGGCTCATTAAAAGGGTGACTGCGCCATAGAGCTGTCTTTATTTACTGCCACATGATCAGGCCTGCTGGAATTTTTTTTTCTGATGTCTGCAACCTCACAAACAGAAATGCCGCGTGATCAGTTGCAGGGTTGCTCAATCCTGCTCCTCGCCTGCCGACTTTAGTACTGCTTTTAGGTATGTAGAAGCAGGACTGACACTTCATTTAGTAGGAAGGTCGACCAGGAGAAGGACAGTTGGAGTTTTTCAGTTCAGGAAGGGGCTATTAGCTAAGACCTACTCAAACTGTCTTTGCATATTAAGCTGAAAAGAAGTATTATCAACTAAAATAATAATAATAAAATATTAAAAGTGAAAAACTTACTGCATATATATATATACCTGTATATATATATATATATATACAGTGGGTACGGAAAGTATTCAGACCCCCTTAAATTTTTCACTCTTTGTTATATTGCAGCCATTTGCTAAAATCATTTAAGTTAATTTTTTTTCCTCATTAATGTACACACAGCACCCCATATTGACAGAAAAACACAGAAAATTTAAGGGGGTCTGAATACTTTCCGTACCCACTGTATATATATATATATATATATTTTTTTTTTTCCCCTTACTTCATTCCATACCATATAGTTGGTATATATGTATGGGTATTTTAACTTTAGATTATATAATTTAAATGAAATCTAAAGTTAAAATACCCATGCATATTTAATAAATAAAAATTTATATATTTTCAATTACATACTTCAGCTTTAAAAACTATATGGTATTGAATGAAGTAAGAAAAAAATAAATGTAAACTATTTAAACAAAAATGTATTTAAACAAATACAAATAAATTAAGTATTTTTTTTAAATAACACACTTTTGAAAATTAGATAACATTAAATGAAATAAAAATAAATGTAATTAAATTAAATATAAAGTTAAAATAAATATAATGTACATATTTCATAATAATAATGTATATTTTTAATTACACACTCTAGCTTAAAAACAATACAGTTTTAAATGAGATAAAAAAAATTCATGCAATTAAATCAAATATTTAAACAGTTTAAACAAATATAATATAAATAGATAATATATATTTTATATTTATAAAAAGTTTTTTTAATTACACACTTCAGCTTTAACAGCTAGATTAGATAAATTAAAAATAAAAAGTAAATGCAAATACATACATAAATAATACAGCATATAAAAATAAAAATTTAAAGCAAATAAATATATAAATAAAAATAAAATATTCTCACAAATTATTTTAAAAATACACAATTGTTTATTTAACTACTGTAGACAAAAATAAAAGACAAAAATACTTTTAAATATAAATTACATGTAAAAAAACAAACATATAAAAAATAAAAACAATATTTTTAAAAAAATTACACACTTCAGCTATACTTGATAAATATAAATGTATGAATACATAAATAAATAAAGTATGTAATCCATATATTGATAATATAGTTTTTTAATTACACACTTAGCTTTAACTGATACTAGACCATACCACCCACAATCAATACATGCTCCAAAGTTTTCACAAAATGGCTGCGGCATGTTTCACAACACAGTATCCCATAATCCTCAGGGCGAATGTTTCAGCAGCTCTCGCTTCACTGTGCATATATGAATGCGATCGATCATTCAGCAAGGGATCTGTGGCAGCGGTGAGTTGGCGGGTGACATTGGGCTGAGTTAGCATCGCCTTCGTGGCTAACTAATGAGAAACTGCAGAGAAGAGCTACCCACTCCTCCGGTAGGGTTCGTCAGAATAAAAGCGGCCTCCTTGCGTTGCCCTACCCCCCAGCTGCAACACTGATGCTCTACCCGCCTCTCCTGCCTCCTGAAGGCCCCTACGGCTGTCTCTACAGCAGGCCTAATGAGCCACCGGCCTGACCGGCTCTTAATGCTGCAATTATGTGCCATACCCAGAAATCCTGGGGGTGTTTGCTTGTGCTGAGCAAAGCCCGGGCCATAAAAGCAAGTTTTCTCTGCCTGCTGCTCTCCCGTGATGCACACATCCAAATTGCACACATTAATATCTGGTAGCAGACAGACGCCGCCCTCGTCAACCCCCTCGACCCTCTCAGTGAATGTGCTGCGCTGGAAGGGTGAGTCTAGTCGAGGATGAGCGAAATTAAATAAACAACTAAGCTAATTAAGGCAATTATACCACACATTTAAATTAAACCAATATCTCAAGGATGTTTTTTCCTCCTTAAAAGAGTGTTTCATGAATGCGTTGGAGACAGATAGGAATATTACATGCAAGTTACTACGTTAAATATGAGGCCTGTGAGCTGACAGTAGAAGCAAGAGAAAGAAACAACTTGTGGGACTCCTGAAAATATAAAAATATCTTAAAATAAAATACAATTTATTAGTGCTGGGCAAGGATTAATCGCGATTAATCCTTTTTATAACATTTATAAAGATTTATAAAGTTTTTGTGTATGTAATATATGTGTGTGTACTGTGTATATTTATTATGAATATATAAAGACACACACATACAGTATATATTTAGAAAATATTTACAAGTATATATTTATATTCATTGAATTTATATTACACATAATATAGTTAATATATAAACATAACATATTTTTCTTAAATATATACTGTACATGCATGTGTGCATTTATATACAGCCTACATAATAAATATACACAGTACATACATATATATTACGTACAAAAAAACTTTTATTTTGGATGCGATTAATCGCAATTAATCGTTGCCCAGCACTACAATTTATGTTTTACAGAATATTATTTGTCTATTGCAAAACAAAAATAAAGTGACACTGGAAAAAAGAAAATCGACTTTTACTTAAACAAATACATCACCAAATTTCCTTTAAAGGGGTCATATGATGTTGCTAAAAAGAACATTATTTTGTGTATTTGGTGTAATGAAATGTGTTTATGCGGTTTAAGGTTCAAAAAACACATTATTTTCCACATACTGTACATTATTGTTTCTCCTCTATGCCCCGCCTTTCTGAAACGCATCGATTTTTACAAAGCTCATCGGTCTGATAAGCGAGGTGTGCTCTGATTGGCCAGCTATCCAGAGCGTTTGTTGCATCCAGTCGGGACATAATTACGGATTATAATGACTTATACTGTCTTTGCTGCACACATCTGAATATTTGGGTTGAAGTGTTCTGGAACAGTGTTGTAAATACAACTTAACCACTGATTTCTATTCGTGTCCTCTTTTGGAAGGCTAAACAAAGTAGTTTCGCTTTCACATAGAAACACAGCGTCACACGGCTAGAGTGAGCGGCGGCCGGTGGGCTTGAGGCAACCACATGTGACGACCCCGGGCTGGACTCTGCTTCGTCCACAGTAAAAGCCGATCTGGCGATCCACAGCGCGAAGTTGATGTATTTTGATGTATAGAATAAAAGTTACGCCTTCTTTCTTTGCGTGAACATTTGGGGCGGTGTTATGCAAATCTTCCCACATAGCGACGTAGAGCCGTTTTAAGTAGGCGTGGTTGACTCTTAACTTTCATAAAGAATATGTCTTTGGATTTGAGACTTTAGTCTTTGCAACTTTACAGATCTTCTTTATGCACCAAGAGCTTGTAACACTCCAAAGAGAAAGGAAAAATTTAAATCGCATCATATGACCCCTTTAAATCTAGCTGCTTTTCATGCTTATGATTTTGTGGCGGCAACCACATGTGACGACCCCGGGCTGGACTCTGCTTCGTCCACAGTAAAAGCCGATCTGGCGATCCACAGCGCGAAGTTGATGTATTTTGATGTATAGAATAAAAGTTACGCCTTCTTTCTTTGCGTGAACATTTGGGGCGGTGTTATGCAAATCTTCCCACATAGCGACGTAGACATGTGGGGGTGTGTTAGAACGAGCCGTTTTAAGTAGGCGTGGTTTACTCTTAACTTTCATAAAGAATATGTCTTTGGATTTGAGACTTTAGTCTTTGCAACTTTACAGATCTTCTTTATGCACCAAGAGCTTGTAACACTCCAAAGAGAAAGGAAAAATTTAAATCGCATCATCTGACCCCTTTAAAATGTCAATTAAGTGAATTAAGTGCTAGCAGGCGACAGTGGCGTAGTGCTAAATTTCTAAATTCATTTTTCAGGAAACAGTGTTTATAGGATAGAGCCTCTGTGTGTGTTTTCGCCATTGCTTTAATTCTTCTGAAGTGCACTAACATATGCTGATTGTGAATTAATACCCCAAAGCAGATTTATACCAGTGGGGTAAATGCAGCTTTCCCAGCAGCCCCTGAATTATCAGGATGTGATAAATGAAGGCCTGAAAAGAAGGTGGTTGTGTGGACTGGAGAGAGAGGAAGAAACAGGGGGAGGAATACATCTTTACAAATGCAACTCAGTGAAAAAGAGTGACAGTTCTCAGACTCAGAAGTTCTCAGATTGCATTAAATAAATAATTGTATATGTTACTTAGCTAGTATATATGTTGATTAATACATGAATTAATCATTTTAATACTATAACATAATATATATAAAGTAATACATTTACTTAGCATTTTAGCCTTATCCTGCAGAAATGTCTAAATATTAACTGTCTAAGAGAATATACAGTATCTTGAGGCTTATTTTTCTTATTCCATTAGCATGTTGGGTTTTTTCTTGTTTTAAGCATAATCTAACAAAATCTAGTAAGGTTTATGCTTAAAACACGGGGGAAAAAATGCCAATAGGGTCAGAAAAATAAACATTTCAAGATTTATTCTCTGAAAACAATTAAATTGTTGTATGCAATTTTGCTTCTCAAGCAGATGTATGTTGTTTTAAGGGCGTTCAAGACAAAAATAATGAGTACTTTTTTTTGCACCGCACTGTAAATAAATGTGCAGCTCATCAAAAAGCCCTGAGAATAAAAAGATAAATGTTGCAGAATGGCCATAAATTGGTCATCTTAACAGCAATGCTGTTTTAGGGCAAGAGGCTCTTGTTACACTTTGAAATGTTTCACAAACAGTAAAGAAGTGCATTGTCATTGCATTGTGGGATTATTGAAGATTTAAGGTGGTACTTGCTACCAAAAGCAGTAAACAAACCTATTGCCATCCACCTCCAAGCTGCACAAACAAGCAAAACAAAACCACTCATTCATCACTGAGACCTGTTCGAAAGCAATCACTGTGGCCGTAGCGATTCCAGGTGGCAGGTGGAAGGAGGAAAAGTGTGCTCTCTGCAAAGTACTTTGCCAACTGTAGCCATCATCACTGCGGCATGAAACTCACTCACTGTGTGGGTATTCAGATCAAACCCTCTGGAAATACCAGCTATAGAAATGACTCAGCATTGGAATTCTCTCCTCAAACCATTAAAAATCTCACTAGAGGTGGTTTTGGTTTGAGCTCTTCAAAAATAAAAAACTGAAATAAGTAAATAAAAACAGATAGATAAATAAACAAAAACCAAACAAAACAACAAAAAATCTGTCACTGCCAAAACATCTACACAACACAATATTGGAGATATCATGTATTGCTGTAAACAAACAAGCAAATGAATACAAAACAGGTTGTGTGTACTGTAAAAGCAGAGATGTGCCTTTCTTACAATAAACAAACAAACAAAACAACACAAAATCTGTCACTGGCAAAACATCTACTATAATAAATAATAGAGATACAATAAATAATAGAAATACATATGTGTAACTTTAAACAAACAAACAAACAAATTTAAAAAATTACAAACAAACAAATAAATAGAAAATCTAAACATCTACTACACGAATGAAAAGCAGAAATATTATTAGTAATAATATAATAGTAGTAATATTATATTAATAAAATTTAAAAAATTACAAACAAACAAATAAATAGAAAATCTAAACATCTACTACACGAATGAAAAGCAGAAATATTATTAGTAATAATATAATAGTAGTAATATTATGATATTAATAATTATATATATATACTGTATATATACATATATATATATATACTGTATATATATATATATATATATATATTAGTGCTGTCAATCGATTAAAAAAATTAACTAATTAATCACACATTTTTCTGAAATTAATCACGATTAATCCCACCTAACATTAAAGTTTTTAAATATACTTTTATATTGCAATAATTTCACATTCAATCTTCAAATTAATGTACAAACAACATAAAGACTATTTTTATAATTTTATAATTTTATATTTTTTTTATATTTGTTTAAGGCTATCTTTTTATATGACTGAAGGCCAGTATCAATGATATCAATACTGATTTCTCTATAAAAATGAGAACACCATTATATACCCATTGACTAAAGCCATTCAACATTACAGTATAATTGAGAGCTATCAATTTTAACATTTATTAGACTTTAAAAAATGACAGTTGGAGTGAACTTAAAACAATCTTCACATAAACCCATTATAATAAATGTCATATTTACCTGTGCCCTTAAGCAGAAATATACTGAAATTGAAATTGAAGTTATCAAACACTAAATTCTAAATTAAATATAGATGAATCCTTAAAGCTATAAAAGTTATTTTTTCCTCTTTTTTTTTCTTTGTCCTTTTATAAACAGACATCACAGCAGCTGGTTATTAGGTTGTTTTGGCTGTTATTTCTTTAAGAGCTGCCACTGCCGCTGCTGAACATGACGCGGATCTGACGCATCATATTTTCTCTCAACTCTTTTTACCTTTTCTGACCCATTTCAGGTCTTAAAGTCTCTATTAATGAGCTGACGAATTAAATCTGGTGTGTTAGATGAGTGAGACAGTGCTGGGCTGCTCCAGGACAGTTTTGAAAACCATTTCAGAGAAATGTGACTCATAGAATATATTACATGCATGCACAGTTTTAAAGGAAGCTTTAATCGCCTTTTTGGTAACTTCATGGCATTGCATGCACGTAGTTTATTTCGCGCTTTGATATGAAAGGATACAGGTTACAGCGCGCGCCGGCGCCTTTGTGCGTGCAATTGAAGCGCATGCGCTGCGAGCACAGTAACGTTTCCGCGCTCGCTTGACTTGCGCCTGGCGCTGAAGTGAAGTGGAGCGCGCGTCTGAAACGTCTCCCATTCTTAGTCGTTCTGCGACTGAATAAATGCACTTCTTGTCAAGAGAAAAAGTGACAGAAGCAGCAGTTGTGAGTGGAGTGGCCAACCCTAGCCTGCGTTAATTGCGTTAAATATTTTTAACGCGTTAAACTGAAAAAAATCATTGCCTCTGTTAACGCGCTAATTTTGACACCACTAATATACTGTATATATATATATATATATATATAACAGACAGACAGACAGATAAATAAATCAATCTATCTATCACTGGTAAAACATTTACGACACTGTAATGAAATAGCAGAAATACTGTACTTTCCTTTCAATAAATAAATAAGAGCACACTGGATTATTTACTGGTAACATCTACTCTACTATAGGTAAATAGAGATACAGTATGTGTTCGTTTCAACAAATAAACAAAAGAGCACACTACTGCTTTTGAATATCTCAAATCAATACAGATGCTTTACTACACAGAAAGTGTAGTTCCAGTTATCTAGCAGCAGCTAACAGAGTCATGCTAACTGTGGAGTAGCATCCTATCTTAGAAGTACTTACATTCACTCTGCAGATGACAGCTGTCTGTACAAATGAACATTGGAAAAAACTGTGTTAACTTCAATATGATATGGCAATTACAATAAATTCCCTGAACAAAGGAATGAGAGTGAAGAGTGCGCTATAGTCAGAATGACAGGATGCGAAAATGAGCCAGAGACCTAGCTGCAGGGAAATTGAATTTCACAGGTATTGTTGCTGGAGTTCTGTAAGCCGGCGACGCCGCATACTAATTAAGCAGCAATACTATACAGGAAATGAGCGCGGAGATTAAACGTGCTGAGTTTTGTGTTCTTGCTTGTTTCTTTCCTGGTAATCCCAAAATGAGTCCCAATCCTCACATGCAGGGGTCTAACGGGTGAAACGTTCAATGGTTTTAAAGTCACTGCAGGAGCTCTGAAACCAACACAGTAAAGACGAAAGACTACTGAAACACTATACATATCAATATATTTAATAGCAACAGTAATTACAATGACATTTTGAACTTAGGTTATTGCAATTTCATTTTGTTTATATGGAAATCATTACAAAGCGTGGTCTTACATAGTTATGACATAAGAACTGCAGTTAAATCATCAGCAGTAATGAGATCAGGTGTACAGGGTCAACCTCTACTTCATATTGAAGGAATTTGCTATTTTTTTACTGTGTAAGAAAGTAAGTTCAATACAGCTACAAAACCCATAGAAACACTTTAACCTGTGTTCAGTGATCCAAATTTAATATGGTTGCACATATTAACCTATTTAATTACCTACCAACTCAGCTGTTGTTTGCTATTCTTGTCAAATACAGTTTGACAGAGCGATATCTGCCCAATTCTCTCTGTCTGCAGCCATTTCTACAGCAATAGAATGTATAAACAGCACTTCAGAGCAGCAATTAATAAAAGACTGTTTTCATGAATACAGTACACAACATGCTGATGTTTTAAGCATTAGATTCATCTAATATTTTTATTTGTGAGATATGTTTGTTACTATATTTGTTACTACAATGAAAAAATTGTTTTCAACACATCAAATGTCTGTCTCCCACCTTAAAATTATGATTTTTAGCCTGTCAAAGGCCTTGATATTTTTGACAATTAAAAGAAAAATTTCACACTATTAAATCTTAAATGGATATAAAATGGTCAATTCACTGTAACAGAACTAGTTAATTAACTGATTTGTATTCATTTAATTGATTTTTTTTAAATCTATATTTATAATTAAACATTTGAATAAAATAAATATTGAAATATTATTTACCACCGTTCAAGTCAGTAAGTTATTAATGTTTCAGAAAGAAGTCTGTTTTGCTCATCAAGGCAACATTTATTTGAACAAAAACAAATAAAAAAAACAAGAACATTTTGAAATATTATTACCATTTAAAATGAATGTTTTCTCTTTGAATATATTTTAAAATGTAATTTATTCCTGTGATAGAAAAGCTGAATTTTACAGGATTATTTGATGCATACAAAGTTCAAATGAATGTGTCCTTCATTAATAGAAGTTAGGGATGTAATGATTCACTCAACTCACGATTCAATTCGATTCATGATTTTGATTTCACGATTCGATTCGATTCACTTTTTCTTTTTCTTTTTTTACAAAATGAGATTTAAGACAAATTATAAATTAAATGTGTCCTTTTATTATTGCTTGGACAAAATGCTGCACGTTTCTTAGTGAAATTGAAATATATCACTATAATAATATACTAATATAGCACTTGTAAATTATTGCTCTTTTGTTGGTTTTAATTGCTTCTATTGTCCTCAAGTCGCTTTGGATAAAAGTGTCTGCTAAATGACAAAATTTAAATGAGTGTAAATGTAAATAACAAAACTAAATTGAAATTTAAAAGCAAGCCCCAAATCAAATAAATACGTAACACAAATAAAATAAATCTCTTCATATAAACAAATA